GGAAATGACGGAAAGTATTGAACTCCCGATTGAGAATGATGAACAAGCTCCCACTGCATCTGCAAGTGAGGGCTACGTAGAAAGCCCTGTTGCTCCATTGTATGAGGACCATAAGAAAGAGCCTGTAGAAGCGTCACCCGATATGAGAACGTTTGTAAAAGTTGGATCTATTGGAGTGGCAAGTCCTGTGTTAGATGAGGAGGAACCCGCGAAGGCTAAGCAAGACCAACGCAAGATCTCGCAAGATACTGGGTAGGTTCTCCCTTTTCCTGTAGCTTCATCTACCCATGTCATAGTGCGGACACTATTCATAAACCACTGTTTTGATCATCTCTTATGGTAGTTTCCATTGCACTGAAATGTTTACCGTGTGGTAAGAAACTTTCATGTTCAAATAGGGTAATTACCCTATTCGAACAAGAGTATCTCTGTTTTGGAACCAAAGACTTCATGTTTCAGGAAATCTCATGAAAAATTTGGAAAAAATTCTCACAGCGAAGCAAAGCAGCACAGTGCAGTCAAATCATTTTTCGATGCAGATTCTGGTATCTTATTTGTAGTTTAATTGCGCTTCTACTATTCCCGCTTGATTTTAGATGACGGTGAAGAAGATGACACAGATGACACTTTAATATTGAAAAAAGAGGATCAGAGTCCGAAATCCGCAATGGCTTCTGAAGCAAAGGCTTCGTCGTCAGCCAGTAAACCTATTATTATTACGGCTCAGTCTCTTTTCGATGACGATGATGAATCTGATCTTTCCATTTTTCGTAAGAAGTAGGGAGTTAAGAGATATCGTCTCAGAATATTTGATGGATTTGTTTCCAAGTATACTGGTATTTGTCACTTGTCATCCTTTTTTAAAGCTATTCAAATGTGACCTTTTTCACTGGCTTCCATATCTTGTTTTCGGATACTTAATGCAATTCTAAACTACTTAATCGAATGGAGTTTATTTACAGCCTTTTGATATGTGTCACCACACTAAGTGCCTTATCTTTTTTACTTTCACTTATGAGTAATGCTTGTTTCGCCTACTTCATCACCTTTCTCCTGCTACCGCGCATCACATGTTCATTTCAGACCTTGAAGCCATCATATTTCTAATAAATATTGATTTTCTAATATAACTAC